CCATCCTCCCTGGTGACGTGGGAGCATGGACCCTGCCAATCAGGAAGCCGGCCAGCGTGTAATGACTCGCCGCCTGGCTTCCTGATACCGAAAGTTCCTGTTCATCAATGACTTGGAATGTGATCAATATATACTATCTGCTCACTTTATGAATGAACAGAAAACTGCTCAGTACAGAGGCTTCCTGTCCGTTCATGAATGGGTTGTTAGTAAATATTTACTAATCGCCAGATTGTGAATGAACAGGAAACCTCTGTACTGACAAGCTTCCTGTTCATTGAGAGCTGGGGCTGCCGAAAAAGAGATTGAGGACTCTGTCCTCAATCTCTTTGTCTATTTTAAAAGGAAAATAGCAGGTGTCTAGTTTAGAACCGATATTTCCCCAAAGCCCGTAACAGTAAAGTGAAAAAAAAATTAAAATTTACAATTTTTTTAAAAAGGTTTGGAAACATTTTTGTTTTTTGCCTAAAATTTCCCTTCGGTGCATCCCTAATCTGGACTTTAATTGGTGTGGCTCTTCAATTCCTACATCTACTTTGTTCACAGTTAAGCCAAGGACACTGTGGAGACCATTAGGCCAGTGATAGCTTCCTACCCATTAACCAGAGTACACATATTCACATCACTTGATCACTACTGGGTGAGAAAACCTGAATAACCACACAGGTCCGGCGCTCCCTTTCCAATTCCAAATATTTGCACCAGTGCCTGAAGGTCACTTTTCAGGCTATTCCTGCATGTCCAGCAGGGTCCAGACACAGCACTCCAATCAGGATGGGGACAGTTGTGCCGCATAGCTGCAACTGAAGAGAACAACTGCAGCAGCAATTTAGAGAAGATATTTTGATTGAAAAAAATAATTTTTATACAACACACACAGACACGGTATTTTTCGCTCCATAAGACGCACTTTTTTCCCCCCAAAAGGCGGGCAAAAATGTCTGCGTGTCTTATGGAGCGAATCCCTATCACCTGACGCCCGGGACATGCAGTTTCGGGCGAGTAGTTTTTCTTGTACATTTAACCCTGCTCCGGACAAGCAGAATTAAATGTACAGTGGCAGCCGCTGCTCGTTCTATACAAAAGTTATCTAATCAGATCACTTGTATCAAATCGAGCGGCAGCGATCGTGTCCGGGGCCCCCCCGCCGTGTTTTTTGAGGTCCTCTGGGGGACCCGTGACCACGGCATAGGAGCTCACCATAGAGCAGACAAAGAACATCCGTTCTTTGTCTGCTCTGTGTGATCACTGAGACCATAATCACAGCGCCACCTGTCACCAAGTACAGCTGTCACAGAACCCTACCCTCCCTGCGTCCTTATAGAGCGCAAAATATGGTGTGTAATATATATATCTATATATATCTATAGATATATATAGATATATATACAGTGGGGCAAAAAAGTATTTAGTCAGCCACCAATTGTGCAAGTTCTCCCATAACTTGCACAATTGGTGGCTGACTAAATACTTTTTTGCCCCACTGTATATATATATATATATATCTATAGATATATATAAACATTTTCTTCTAGTAAAAATAGGTTTGTTTTTACACAGCAGAGAAAAAAGAAACAAGATGTCCATCCTCATAGGACACTAGCAAAAGACTGAGGCATGCTATTAGTAGGTGGGGTTAAATTGGACTGGCTTGAAGTTTGTTTGCCAGTGTCCAGTAGGCAGCAGTATAACCCTAAGGTGAAAGACTTCCTGTGTCCCTCAGTGTTTTTTTCTCTTTTTCATAGAAGGGTTACAAACCTTGTCAGAAACAGGGTTAGGCTGTTACAACTAGCTTCTTAAGAATGTTTAAGAATCCTGTTTAAGCTTCCCTGTTCATTGCACACAGATATCCTCCTTTTTCCATACCAAGACTATTCTCGGAGTTCCCAGGAGAGGCAAGTAAACCCTTGAAACATGGGGAAGGATGAGCAGCTATTTTTAATATGTAGAAGTGATTATAGGTGGCATTGCAGCCATCCAAATCATTCTACAATATAGAGCTCAGCCAGCACACACATTTAAACACGGACTCCCCTGAGCTTGTTCCGACCCTTTGATTGCCATGATGTGTCCGTCACATTAAGCGGTGTTTAGAACAACTCTGCGATGGATAATTATAGCCAAGTTTAAGAAATGAAACTTACTTTAGTGTCAACAAGGGTAAAGCTGCTGCATCTGAATCAACCCCTGTCCGGTGATGCGAGATTCTCGGCTTGCCATAACGAGGAGCGATTGGAGGAGGACAGGCTGGCCGCAGGCGCTCTCGAGCCGACAGGTAAGGAGAGGAGTACCCGGCGGTTTCTGGCTCTGTTTCATCAGAAGGGCTCAGCAGGCTCTGGTAAGAAAGACTTCCATTCTGCGTCTGATTTAAGCTTTTGTACGAGGTGGATGTCGTTCCTTCCGACGGGAGAGAGGGAAGTGGCGCCGGAGTACTCGCGGCGGAGCGCAAACTGGAGGACCGAGCTGGTGGTGCGTGACAGGACTCCGGCTCTAAGCTGGGTTCTGAGCGAGAACTGGGAGGGCGAGACAGGTCAGAGGTGGGCATTGGGGAGTCCTGGAGACTGTCCATACGAGGAAGCTGTGCGACAAGAACATAAAAGAAATCAATCATGAAATGTTACACAGCAAATAAGACAGAGACAGCGGTTTGTTTAAAGTGCACCTGTCATAACCATTTTGCTGCTGTACTCCGGCTCAGCTTTTTACCTTGGATGGCCAGGGCAGTTTTTACTCTTTCATGTATACTAATAACATTTAGGATACAGACTTTAAAACTAATCCCAGGCAAACCGCTAAATGCAAAGATACAATACATACAAAGGAAAGTTAATTTATGTCCATCCACTCCATAAATGCACACAGTTCTGCAACACAACACAACCCTGTCTGGCAGGGAAGGAGAACCTAATTCTGTTCTGCTGTGGTTAATACTCAAGACCCATTCACACTGTTGTGCTGCCCTTGCACAAGGGGGTTATGTTACACATTACCAGGTTGTGACAAGGCAGCCCATTCAATCTAACAGTCTGCGCTACACACACACACACAAAACAAAGTACATGCAGCATTTTGGCAGGATTAGCATTTGCAAGATGCTTTTAGGTGCCATTCAGAATAAATGGCATCGCACCAACAAACGGAACACGCATTACTGTGTTCTGCATTATCGTGAGAATAACCACAGCGCAATAGTGTGAAGGGGCCCTTACGGGTTACCCAGCCCAAGTCTGTGATTGGACAGGTAAAGAGGAAACCGCACACCAATTATCTTATCTCTATCACTGCATTTGCTGCTCCTATTAGCATCCCATGAGCACAACTGACTGGCTACTTGTGCTGCTTTTCCCTATCCCAGTCTATGCTCTGCGGTACATGGAGTGCAAAAGCCCAATACCAGGACAAGTTCAAACCAAGACTGAGAGGGAGGAGCAGCGCCGTCAGGCTTTACTGCATAGCACAGTGCGAAAAGTCATACTGTGAGCTTACTGACTGTAAAATACATAAGGACAACCTCATCTATGTGCCACGACTGCTACACTGTCCAATCAGCAAGCTGCAGTGACAAAGCTGGAAATTAGCAGATTTAGTCTTTTCCACAAAACTAATAAGTACTATGGCCATACTTTTGAGTAAATAAGCTTAAATGGATGATGCATGCCATTGTATAAGTAGGATAGGGCGCATATGTAGGACTTAAAATTTGAGGTCCTGAGTGGATAATTGCCAGGAGTTTCACTTTAAATAAAAAAAACTCAAGAAGGCACATCAAATATATTGCAAGTAGTTTTATCTAACAGTAAAAACTTGGGTACTAATCATTCAACAATGAAAAGTCCAAATCATGGGTCAGACATACACCCCCCCCCCATCTACACACACCCCTCTCTGGTTAGGGGGTCCCCGGCAGTAGGTCACACAGGACAGGTCTGTTCCCTGATGATGCAGAGAGCGGCCACAACCGTATGTATCAATACACCGTAGTGACAACCCCACGGGGCATGATCCCTTGAAATTCGGCATTCACAATAAGTCCTCAGTCTTCCAGGATAACCGAGCTGTGCTTCGCTCAACATAGAAGACTGAAGCCATTTTGTGACAGCAAAGCAGCATGGGACAGCTCTGGATTGAAGGCGAGCGATTATTGCATCCTGTGATACTTATTTTAAGCTGCTGCGGGGGGGGCATTTCAATTAAAATGTGGCTTAAGTTGGTACAGCACTGACTTACCTTGCAATTGGGCGGAGGCCCGCCACTCGCACTGCTAAAGCCTGGTCGATATCTGTACATAGTTGGAGTAGGAGGACTCTCCGCATTCAACAGGGAATTGTCTGGGAATAAATGGCATACGTCAGCAAAACTTAAGTAGACAAAAGGTAAGTCTATTACATTTCACATACACTTCATTTGTGTCGTGGCCGGGTTGGTACAAACAGCCATGGTCACAGTGAAGCATGCGACAACCAAATATACGTACTCTCAACTGGTGATCATTGCTGATTCACATTGCATGGCACATGAATGGAGCAGTTTGTAGCTTGCAAACTAAAAATGAATGCGTCATTTACTAGCAACCATAACGCTGTGGATGAGAAGGTTAGAGAAGGAAGACACTAAAAGGTATTTCACCCATTTTATTTGGAGGGGGTTGAAGAAATGTAAAACTTTTACAAACAGTCTTAAACTAGATTATTATAGTCTGTTCTCTCATCCCAAAGGCCCTATCCAGTTCTGTTTTGTGTACTTAAACTATATGTAAATCTAACCCCCCAAGAGTAAGGGTGGGGAGGGGTTCAAAAATCTGTCTTATTTGCCATCTGTGTCCCACTGGAGAGACTTCCCTTTACTTCCTGCCTTGTACACACCAGGAAGTAAGAAACATCATTCCAAAATAAGGGAAACCCTTTTACATAGGTGCCATTGGAACAAGTGTGCCCATTGGGATAATTTCCCTTCTATTCCAGTTCCTGTAACAGCAAATTTCAGATTTGCCCTCACTTCCAGTCACAGTAACATCTGTCACCAGGCCAAACAGAGGCTAAATCTCTCCAAAGAGGACAGAGACAGCCAATAGACAGAACCTGGTTCTAACCTCTGGATCACCTATACCACTGCAAAATAGAACAGGAGCTTGTACCCACCATACAATCTTTTTCTTGGAGCCCATTGTGGCAAACAGGATGTCTTTAACCTTCGAGTCATACTGCCACCTACATGAGGACTGGACACTGGCAAACAAACTGTAAGCCAGCTCTAGGCCTCATCTGCTCAACCCCCCTGCATTGAAAAATAAAAGACGGAGTCCAGGCCCGCTCATCAGCTATCCTGTGTTTTGGTTCTTTTGAACGACGGTGCTTGTCTTCAGCGTGCCATCACTTACAACAACACAAGCCACCAGCTACTTTTCTAGTGTCTCTTCCCAGAATAGCTGGTGGAAGGGACTAAGCTCAGTCTTTCCCCCCAGTGTTTTGCAAAGGGGTAGAAGAGAAGAAGCAACGGCTGTGGGTTGTGCTATCTTCTGCGGTGTATGAGCCAAGAATAGTTTAGCTGAGGGCCGGGGGGCACCACTAGCTCCTTTTCTGAATCCTAGTGCCTCCAGTTAGTGAACACACCTCTAAATCATGATGAGGCGAGTCCCAATTTGCTGATACAGAAACAGCCAAATCTCTGTAACCATTCCAAGATTTTGTTTTTTTATGTATTCCTGCTGATGAAGTATAGATATAGTATAAATATTGCGTGCCCTAGAGCTAGCAGGGAATTGAAAATCACCATATCAACCATTTACATCAAACAATAACAAATGATTTCCATAAATAAGCAATTCGATGTTTGCAAGAGACACATATTGTATCATACCTTCCCTGTCCCCGAGGCTTATCTGACCTCTCAGCCCTGGGTAACGGCTCAGGTCAGGCTTTGGTGGTGGCGGTGGTTCTGCATCTGCCGACTGAGACTCTGTGAGCTCTAAACTGCTTCGAGACTACAAGAGCGTAAAAGACAAAAAAAGAAGAAATTAAAATAAAATCTTTCACCAAGAGTCTAGCAAAGGAAACTGCTCCAAGTTAAAACCCTGCATCCACTTCCAACTTTCCAGTGCAATGGCAGCTCTGGCGCTCGCTCATGCTTCTCATTCCTGCCAGTAGTTAAGAACGCAACCAAACACCAGATTTATTGTAACTCACAGTACACAGACCCAACCAGCATTCTCTCACAGTGACAAAGTATAAAGACCCAACACTGACTAAGCCCATTTGAGTAAAAAGAGCGAGGCCCTGGACTCAGGTCTAGGCCAATGGCCTAGATTTAGCAGCTACCCACAAAACAAAGTCCTCAGCTAATCTAGAGGTTACTAAAGTAAGTGGCCAAGCAATAAGGAGTGCCAAATGGACGTTTCAAGAGTCCAAAAATGTACTTTACTGGTTTTGCACATGGCAGAATGAAACCATGACTAATGTGTTTCAGGGGCCCAACAACTTTCCTCCCTCATCAGGTCCTAACCGACTTGTCTCTAGGTCTGGTGGACTCCAATGCTCAGACTGGCTGCACTGCAGTCTGTTACTAACATCCACCAACTACTTGCTCCTGGCTGTGACATACAACTCCAGGCTCCTAGATTTGACCATGAGACAAGTCGGTTAAGCCCTGATGAAGGGGGACGGTTGGACCCCTGAAAAACACGTTGGCTGCCTTATATTTTCCTTCTGTTATTTGTAGAACCAATACAAGTACATTTTTGGACTCTTAAAATGTCGGTTTGGCTCTCCTTTGCGCTCAACTACTTACTGACTAAGCCTATTGGCTGGGCAAACTACGTCAAAGGTTGAGGGTCCTGGTGGGGTCCACCGGCCCACTGGATAGCTCAGTGTGCGGCTGGTTCTTCTCTTCCAAGAGCGTTTCAATGTACAGCAGTTGGTATGCTTCAGCTTTTTGGTGCGTGGGTCTGCAATTTGCAGACAACTAGCTGTCGGTATGGGATTTCTGAAGCTTGACAGCCAAAGACCTTTACAGCCAAAGAGAGACTAGAGGTAAGGCACATACCTGCACTTGCCTCACCCTGATCTAGAGCCCTTTCTCTTTAAGAACTCTGTAAGAGCACATTTACACTGTTGAGTTGCATTAATGCCAGTATTAAGGAATGCTACACCCATCAGTGCTGCAGTGCCATTTATTTCCAATGGCACCCCAACAATTTCAGTTAGGGAGAGAGGTGTCCCACCCCTTCCAGTCTGCGGCATCCGAGACATTCAGCTGCACAAGCACCACAGGAGGACAGGACACAGGTCAGTGAGACGATCGAGATCTACCAGTGTTCGCTTTGCGATCGACTGGTAGATTGCGATCAACCTAATGGGCACCCCTGATTTAAAAGAATAGAGGAAAAGTTAGAAGCTCCAAAACCTTTTTTTTCCCCTTCACTTCCTGTCCTGGCGACACCATGGCATTGCTGCCCAATCAAAAATTCCTGTTACCCCTCTCTGCAGTATATTTCCATACATTTTCAGTTAGAATCCATAATGTAGCCCGAGATCTTTCATGAAAATTCCCCATCTTTTAAGGCTAAACCAAAAAGTTAGTATTATAGAACTATATATGACAGGATATCATTAGGTCCTACCCACAGGCAAAAGACACAAACACCCCCCACTCCTTCCAACACCTGCTTAGTAACTGTGGCCCTTTGAAATAATATACCTGATAGTGTTGAAGAGGACTCTGTATGCCGTTGTCCAGTATTTTAAGGCCAATCTGACTATCGGAAATCTCAGGACGTAAAAACGGGGGTGTTATCGAGAGAACAGATTGAAGACTACGTTTTAAGTATCTGAAAAATGAAAAACAAAAAGGTTAATATTCATGACAACGTCAATCACAGAATTATTCATAAGGCAAAGAGCTGGGAACTGTAGCAATTTATCCAAAAAGAGCTTTCTTAAAAAATGAAATATGATTCATTGATCAGGGTTACTGCAATTGGCTCTTTATGCTAATAAACAATTCCCACATTTAATTAGGGCAGAGTCAGCAACCCTTATAAAGTCCCAAGCACAGGGGCCATTACCAGCTAAATTACATTGTAATAGGTCATTTCACACAAAATAGATTTTCTATGTCTGGTGGATGCTGCAATCACAAAGCTGATCACTGACTGAAAACTCCAAAGAGGATTTTTTTTAATTATTATTATTCCCCAGCAGGTTTTGGAAAAAATTTAAAAATTTGAAAGCAACACAGCTCAATACTCAACCCGGAACGCTCCCTTCCAGTACCGACTCTCCCTCCAGCTTTCCACAAACTTGTTAAGCCAACCATATACTAAGCGAATTCCGGCCAGGTCTTGATTAGTGATGGGCTTGGGCGTGTTCGCAGCTCCACGTGCCGAGCCTGCCAGGAAGCTGGCAGCGCCAATCACAGGTACTGAGACATTTCCCGATCTCTGCAGCTGCCGGATAATGTCTCAGTACCTGTGATTCAGCTTCCTGGCGTGCTCGGCACGTGGAGCTGCGAACACGCCCGAGCTCATCACTAGTCTTGATGAACTGGCTGAAATTTGCAAACTGGGTGTGCCCTTGTCGGCACACTTCCAGCCGACATCCCTCGATCAAGAGATCAAAGGAGCCAAGGGGAATATCTTCGGCCAAACGGCAGGCGGCCGCTGTCAGAATACAATAGAGAGAGGAGACGTCCATCCACTCTCGTAAGCAATGATAAAGGAATCTGTTATCATTTTCTTTGTTCAGCCCACAGGTTTACCAAAGAAAATATAATAGTGTATGGTCAGCTTTAAACTCTGTGGGCCAACTAGAGCGAACATGGACACATATACTGGTGCAAGTCTCACAATTGTTTAAAACCCTATACTGCAAGTCCCACACAGGGGTCAATAAGCCACGTAAAATTGGCATACCTGGGTGGGGATGAGCTACACAAAACATGGCTCACATTCTGACAGCACCCATTACTAAATGGATTCACTCCACCGCGAAACTTTCCAGTGACCTGTAAGACATAAGATGAAATTTAAGACAGACAGCCTAGGAAAGAAGTCCATAAATGACTGGAATACGGGGATAGCTAAAAGAAGTGCATCGTGTTTAACCCCTTCATGACTGAGGCCTTTTTTTCATTTTTTGTACCCATGTTATATTCCACTGCAAATGTGATGAACTTGGTGTGAAATTATCTTGGTGGAGAATGAATAAAAAGTGAAAGAAGTTCCATCTCAACTGGTGCTGCTGCCCATAGCAACCAACCAGCTTCCATCTTTCCACTTTCCCAAGACCGCTTAAAAAATGAAAATTGTATACTAACAAGTATAATGCTGTCAGAATACCCAAAACAGTGAATAAAGCTGATTGACTGCAGTCACTGTTCGGGCAAGAATATGCAGACTGGCTCCTTTGAAAAAAAGTCGATTGAAAAGTCAACTTTTGTCAAATGGGTGGCCACATACTGGCTGAATTTTGGCTGAGTCAGCAGGACCAGTGTATGGCCAGCCTAAAACAAGACTGAGTCCGTTTTTCGTGAGCCCCTCTCCCGATCATGGTGCTCTGCACTCACAGTGTGGCACTGAAGTCATCACATCAGTGTTACTGTCGGCATCATCCAACACAACCCACCACTAGGAGAAGAGGACACAGTATGCCATGTGACCAACATCACAAAAATAGCTGGTGGGGGGGGCTTTTTTGGCAGCTACCAACTTCTACCCTGACATGTCGTCTTTCTAGTGCAAGCCACAGAGAGATAGACAATGGACAACATTGTCACAGACATCAATAACGAGGATTGTTGTCAACGAATCTCATTATTGATTAGTTGATCTGCACTCAGATGGGACACAGACCTCAGCAGCCTGTGCCCAGCATTGAGGAGAGCTCCCCCAAACCTCCGCCACATTGACTCTGCTCCTCTCTCCTCCCCGCTGGATGCTGCAGTCTGTGTCCCCTCCGATCCCCGCTGCTCTCCCCTAGCTGTATCGGCAGAGGCAGCAGGGATCAGTGAGGACAAAGACCGCTGCAGTCGGCGCCAGATGGGAGGAGAGATCACCTGCTGTAACAGCAAGAAGGAGTCAGGATGGAGAGCGGCTCAGAAGGTAGAGCGGAGGATCGGTAAACATGTGAAATATTTACTGATCCTTCCCTGTGAAGAACAAACACTGTGACCAATACTGATCGCTCTCTTTTACTATTTTAAAAAGGGATATATCAGGGGTTTCACAGCAAAGTTAGAAAAAAATTGTGCATGCAATTCTATTCTAAAGTAAACTTTATATGTTTGTAACACTACATTTGTGTATTTTAAATAAAAAATCGGCTTTTTAAAATCGATGAAAATAACAGTCGCAGCTCCAATGTCTCTGTAGTAGAAGTGTTAAGGTGCCCACACACCTTACGATTATCGTGGGAAATCCCGCGATCGTACGATTATCGTAAGGTGTGTGGAAGCCGTGCGACCTCTACTACTGTAAGGTCGCACGACTTTTAACTTACGAACATGTTTGGAAACCCGCCGAGCATCGTACGATGTTTGGCCGGTGTGTAGCATGTTCGTAAGATAAAAGCCGGACGGGCCGATGACCGCAGTGGCGTTTGGCATTGCGGTCATCGGAAGCCCGCCCCTCAGGGGGCGTGGCTTTCGATCGTCGCAAGTACGATCTGCCTATGCAAGATAGGCAGATCGTACGTTTTTTTAATTACCTTAAAAATATCGCAAGACAAAAGTCTTGCGATGGTTGTAAGGTGTGTGCCCAGCATTATGGAGTATGTCAGGACTGCACGAATAAGAGGAATGTAATGCTGGAAAGTGCAGCAACATAAAGGAGAATGTACTGCACCTGCTCATTAGTTGTGCGACCTCGGGACACCAGGACAATGTGAAATCCTGTAAGTCCTGTAACGGGGAAGAAAAACAAGCCAGCCACACACATCACTGAAATACTGAGATCTGGTTAAGGTACACAACTAATGAATGGTAGAAATACGGTCAGTCGTCCTAGTGATTAAAGCCCAACTCTCCAATCAGGAGGGAGCATGGGCTTTGAGGATTGGAGATCTTTGGCTTTGACTCAGCAGGGGACATGTCAGAACTCTGCAACCCAGACATGGAACCAGGGTCCTTCTCTGCAGGATGCTGGCAGGGGTCAGGCTTTTCTATTCCAACTATCAGCTTTATAAACAAACTGAAAAGCAAACCACGGACGATACTATCCGATTGTACAATCTCTACCAACAACCATGTAGTGCAAGTTCCTGCTTAAATTGGATATAGATTTCTTGGATAGTTTAGATAGGTCCTCATATTACATAGTTTTGGTAAATCTAAAGGAGATTGTGCAAGGACTGCACTGGTCAGGTTGCAAACTCTATGGGGAGCTTAAGACTTTGAACACCTGTTATTCTGAATGTAATCAGCTGAGGGCTCATCTACATCAGAACATGTGTTATTGCAATGCATGGCAACTGTAGATGTGTGTTCTGGTACGTTGTAATACAAAGTCAATTCCAATAGGGGAGTATTTGGGGCTTTTAGCTTAGGAATGATTTAAGACAACTCAGCAATTAGCAGGGGGGGGGTTAGGGGTTATGCCTGGAGTTCTGCTTTGAAAAGGCTAGATATGAGTGCGGCCTAGTGAGCTGATCAACAACTGACCTCTTGCCTTAAGCATGAACTCCAAGTGTTTATGTAGCTCATAGTAACCAATCAGGTTCTTTCGTCACTAACCCAGGGCTGCAGAATTCCCAATTAGCTAACCAGCAAGCTCATAGACCAGCTCATAGGCCTACTTACTACTACTTTGTTGCCCATGAGAATATCTTTCTAGCTTTATTATTGATCATTATATTTTTATATACAGAGATGCTCCTCAAGCTTAAGGGCCCCATTGCCACGACTGTGCTGCAGTAACACAGGATGCATATATAGGCACCTTGCAGGGGCATTCATTGTGAATAGCACCCCAATACCCTTGCATTGCAGAGCAGGAAAACACACAGTAACACACTACCACTTGCGGCTGTGAATTAGTGGAACAGCACTGAGGCCGAATAAGCCCAACATAGGAGGTATAAATGGCATTATATATTTTAGGCTGTTCCTGTACAGAAGCTTTGATTGGCATTGCTCTGCCCAATATCCTAATAGAAGGAAACCCTTTTTTGGATTTGTAATGACGTAGATTTCTTTTGTTTTTAGTAGGGATGGAGCAATACCGGTTTTTCGGTATCGAGTGCCGATATTTTTTTTCCCCCAGTACTTGCCGATACCGGCATCCATGGGCCCGGATTATCAGGAAGCCAGGGGGGCGGGTCATGACCCGCAGCCTGGCTTCCTGATTGCCTGGGAAGTCTGTGTTCTATCGAAAGAACATCGGCTTCACATTCTGAGGTAGCCTGGCTTCCTGACCAATCAGAAAGCCGGGTGGTGGGTTATGACGTGCCGCCTGGCTTCCTGATGGGCTAGGAAGCCGGGTTTCACTTATTGCTAGGCAGCCTGGCTTAATGACTAATCAGGAAACCAGGAGGAAGGTCATAACCCACCAGGAAGCCGATGTCATGCTTCCGCACGACATTGCCGGTCAGAGGGATATCTCTCTGACCAGAAGTACCGGTATCGGGGGTAAGTATCTGAGTATTCGGGCAAGCAAGAGTACTCGCCTAAATAATTGGTATCGGTGAATCCCTAGTCTTGAGAAGACAATTTTGTCATTTCCAATCTTTTAGTACAAGACCTTCTGGTACCTTTTTGACCCGGACACCATAAACTGCCTGGCAATAAAAAATGGCTGGCTCTGAATAAAAAATACACAAAGTGTTGATGTTTTTTTTTAAAAGAACACAGATAATGGGCAGACCACTATTAAAGGATACGTCACAATTGCTGGGATGTCTCTGAGCTGGTCTGGATGCCCCAATGTGTAGAAAAGGCCACAGATAAAAACGCTCATTATGTGCAATGTGAGGGACACCAGGAAGAGGAAGAAGTAACGATAATTCCTGCGTCCAATGCAGTTATTCACCCATGGACAGTGGTGGTCAAACTCCTATAAACAATAAAACATTAAAAGAAAAGTAATTAGAAAAGAACAGATGCACTGCAATTGAAGTCAAAATGAATAAAAGGTTGGGCTACCCAAAAATATTTGCTGAAGGCCTGAAAATCACCCACTGGTTTCTTTCCATGTCACATACACCACTTAATCCAGAACACCAAGGAAAAACTGAGAGCAGGGCATTATGGCCCCCATCCCCTAAACACAGCACCCAAAACGTCACTCACAGTATATTGCACAACTCACCTCCACACAATTGTCACAAACACTGCAGTGAGAGCAGCGAGGAGGCCTGTAAAAGCGGCAGGTTGAACACCACTTCATTCGGACCTGGACGCCCCTCACTTCCACCGTCTTATATAAGGGAGCCCGGAAGTCATCATCTTTGTCTTCATCCTCATCAGCTGGGACAAAGCAGAGTTGATGAAAAATCTCATGAGGATCCATTTGCAAGAAGAGACAGCCTCATAACTAAAAATGTGTCTTTCCTAATTTTAACTGAAACAGCTTTGTCATCGTTCCAAACATTTGGTCAAAGCAGGTCCTTACTAAACAAGACAAGGTATTCTTACCTTTCCGGCAGCCCTGGTCTCTTACCTTCACCTAATTCTGGAACTGCTGACCCCGTCACAATCTTCAGCATTCAAAACATTGCCAAATGTTGGAAGCTAGAGTCCCCCGCGGTGTGCTGTACCATCCCCTGACCTCTATGTCACTACAGGACACAATGATGACATAGGAGGGGGTCAGAGAAAAGGTAGCACATGATGTGGGACACTGGCATTCAAGACTCCCAGAAGAGTCATCCGTTGAAAAATCGCACGGAGGCTGCAATGCCGGAAAGAAGTGACGCTAATAGACAACATACACCAGAGAGGCGAGAATACGGTGTCTTCATTTGCAGGGAACTACTTTGAGGCGATGACATTTACATTACACAACATGCTTATCTTCTACTAAATCCAAGAAAGAGTGTTCTAGCACTGTGAGCTTACAGACATTTTCATTCATACTTGTAGGCAGCTATACAAGAACATACCTCGAGGGAAGATTCCGGGATCCATAAACGTGGCCATGCTGAAATTGGCCAACACAAATAGAAACATGACAGCGTTATAAGCAGGAAGAGCTGGGGACACTTCTACACTGAGCCATGGGCATCTGTGGGGACAAATGTAGACATAAAACATGACTACAGTTAAAAGAAAAGTAAAGCCTGTGCCAGAAGCACAGTCAGCGAACCGTTCTACAAGCCTATCCGAAAAACCATGGAACTGTGTTGAAGTTTTACATGACTCATTTCAACTGGATTTACAAAGATACTCACTACTAGGTGAGCACGTAGAGACTTGTCACCCAAATATGTGCTATAGAACCTCAGATTTCTGGATCCTGATTGAAGTCACAGATGTAGATATTCAGCCAGACATTGTACTAACAGCCTCCATTTTCATCAGTATTTACATATAACCCATAAAAATCTGCAGTGTGCCCATGTGATACTGTTCAGTTTGAAAGGCATTAGAATTTGACCACACTGCCTAGTGCAAGGCACAATCTAAAGCTGGCCATACGCCTATAGATTATCTGCAGATTTTCTGTGGTCAGATGGAAAAAGTGCAACAGATTCCTCCATCTACGCTAAACTGTGTGGATGGAGGAATCTCCCACTGGGCCAAGCTTCAGTATCTTGCTAGTCGGCCCCGCTGGCTCTCAAAATACCTGAACAATGCCGGTGTTCTAGCGAAAGCTCCAACTCGTCAAAAAGTCCAACTACCTCACTGCCGGGTACTTGCAAGTTGAAGATTTCGGCCAGACGGCACTAGACTGCAAAACACAAAGACTGACGGAGCTCTGTACAGCTGCATTTTAACAATATTCAGCAGATGGCAAACTCGACGAGTACTCAGAAAACATTATACGCACATGCGCACCGCAACTGTACAAAGCTCCAGTCTTACTGAGCACCGGAAGTGAGGTAGTTGGAGATTTCGATGAGTTGGAGCTTTCGATAGAATACAGGAATCCAATCAGAATGTTCAGGTAGCCAGCGGGGCCGACTAGCAAGATACTGAAGCTTGGCCCAGTGGGAGATTCCTCCATCCACACAGTTTAGCGTAGATGGAGGAATCTGTTACACTTTTTCCATCTGACTATAGAAAATCTGCACTTTATCTATAGGTATATGGCCAGCTTAACAAACCTGGTCAGACATGTCCCCTTACTCAATTTGGGACAGTTGTGATGAGGGTTGTGATCGTTATACAGCAAGAGATGAGCTTGGGCTTGGTGCAAACCTAGTTCATCTGCGAACCCCCTAGCCCGCTCAAAACTGTGACCACCACTCCCCGCACCTGGCCCAATCAGTGGCAACAGTTGCAGCAGGGGCATTCCCTGTCCGTGTGTGACGCATAGTTGCAGGCCGGGAATGCACCTCGCCACAATTGATTGGGTCGGGAGGCGGCAATACCAGCATAGAGTGGGAAGAAAGGAAGCACATTAAGCGAATAGGGTATTTAAAGGCATTTCCCAAGCAACAGTAAGTTATATTTTCCTGCCCGTGTCCCATGGGGGAGATTTCCCTTCAATTTCAGTCATGGAGATAACAGGAGAAAAGACAAAATCTCTCCAAAGTGAAGGGAAATCCCATCTTGGATGTCACTGGAACAGATGTCCCCATTGGAAGATGTTCCCTTAACGTTTGATCTGGTGACAACTTTTTGCAATTTCACTTCTGACAAATAGAGGGTTAAATCTCGCCAGGGGGACAAAGCCAGCAATATAAAATTTGTTAAAGGGCCTTTATCAAAAAATGAAAATCTTTACATACATTTTAAAGTGTTGCTAAAACTTAGCTTGGCTCCTAGAGGACTTCCGAGTGCAAGTCATTAGATCCTGGTACTTGGTCACCCCGATCTTGTCTTATTGTTTCTAAACTATATCAAGGTTACAAAACTAGGATACCTAGTTCACATAGTCCTCATGTTTTACATTACCACCCTCAGCTTCCTTTATATAAACTGCGATACAGAAGATATTGAATAGGTTTGTTTAACCCTAAGTGATCAACCCCAAGTTCTCAGATTCGAGTTCGATGAATTCACACAAAGCATTTCTTTTTCGGGGATTTGTATTACACACAGTAGAAAGCTGCAATAAAACAGTACAGCATGTACTTAGCTTTAATTAACCTTTAAAAGAAAGAGAACACCTTATGATGATTCATCAGGGCCGTGACACATATCAAAACAGAAGGCAGACATCAAACAAAAATCGGGTTTTTGTTCAGCCATTACCGTCTTTTGTGAGCATGGTTATTGCATAATTAGAATTTATTTGCTAGTCCTGAATTTCTCTCCGTGTTTTGTTGCTGCAATCAGCGTCCCAGCAGAATACTGGAGAGCTTGCATCGAAGGAAAACAGTGTTTGAAAGCACTTGTGTTCCTCTTGGTAATCCCGACCATCATGTGTTAGTACAGATAAAAAAACAATATTGGGAGTCATTACCCTGGGCAATAGATCTGGAGTCATTACCCTGGGCAATAGACCTGGAGACATTACCCTGGGCAATAGATCCGGAGTCATTACCCTGGGCAATAGATCCGGAGACATTACCCTGGGCAATAGATCAGGTGTCATTACCCTGGGCAATAAATCGGGTGTCATTACCCTGGGCAATAGATCGGGTGTCATTACCCTGGGCAATATATCGGGTGTCATTACCCTGGGCAATATATCGGGTGTCATTACCCTGGGCAATATATTGGGAGTCATTACCCTGGGCAATATATTGGGAGTCATTACCCTGGGCAATACATCGGGAGTCATTACCCTGGGCGACACAGACTTGTCTACTACCTACCTTTTATTTCTGAAGCTTGCCATCAATCTCTACTAATGGTGACATTGACATGACTGGAATGGGAAGGTGATTTGACTGAGTATGTTTGGTATTTGTGAAGCCTCTTCTCACACTCAACCACCACATCAGTAACATCCTATTAAAACCGTGGTTCTCAACTGGTGGGTCATGACCCAATGTTCAGTGGGTCGCCGTGTGCCTTCCACTTTTCTAGGTGAAAGGCTCCTCTGCCTACCCCTAACGAAGCACTGTCAGATTTTGCGCCAAGCAGCCATTCAAAATATGCTGCCCGATACCGAGTGTCAGCTTGAGGTGGGGCGGGCTGGGCCTATGGCCGCCAGGGAGCTCCATCCATATGTGCATTGCATTCAAACTCCCACACGCGTGTCCTGTAGAGGTTCCTGGACCAGAGTGATGTCACATTGCAAGGAAGCTGTACAAGAAATGCACATGTAGAGGGGGATTTTCAACAAACAAAAAAAAAAAAAATTTTGCGGAGTGTGTGAGAGATTGTGTGTGTCCATCAGTGTTTTTACGGGGCCCGTTCACACTAGTACAGTGTCTTAATCGTACAGCCCCGTGCGATTAACCCACCGTATCACGCAATCGTACCTACCGCGTGTTCTAGTGCAGAAGGAGCATTGTGTTCTCATTCATTTGAATGGCGCCCCAAAAACACATCCCACGCCATGTGTTCCTGAGGTAAGACAGGTTGAGAACCACTGTATTAAAGTGCATGTATAATCAGTTCTGGATGGAGTAGGGATGGGTTAAAACCCCTATTCATTTAATTTTTGCTGCATGCCTTCTGTGAGGGAGATCCCCCTTAACATTCTGTCCCAGAGATACAACGGGAAAGTTTTTCGGTACTCACCGATATCCAATACTGATACCGGATGACCCATTAAGGAAGCCAGGCGGCGTGTAATGACTCGCGGCCCGGCTTCCTGATCAGCTGAGAAGCTGGCTCCATGCACCCTCGTCACCAAGCCAATTGTGTAATGGCTCGCCGTCCGGCTTCCTGATTAGCTTTGAAACCCGACTCCATGCACCCTCATCACCAAGTGACGAGGTAGCATGGGGCCGGCTTCCCAGCCAATTGTGTAATGACTCGCCGCCCGGTTTCCCGATACCGGAAGTTTCCGGTATCGGAATAAGCATCGGGAGTATTTGGCCGAGAACGAGTACCCTCCCAAATACTTGGTATCGGCACGAATACCAATAGTAGTATCTGTGCATCCCTAATTGAAAGATTTACCTTTATCTCCTGTTATGGGAACTGTAAAATGTTGGATTTCCCATCACTTTCCATCTCTGTTACAATAGTAAAGGTAAACAAACCTAGTAGGGACAGAGATGGCTATACAAGCTTCACAGGGGTTCCAATCTTTCCCAACCATATCCAAAATGAATATAACAGCTTTGCCTATTACACACACTTTAAATGGGGAGAAAGTTAAAGTTGCCTATATGTGCTGGTCATCGAGCCCAAACCACTATGTAGAAACAAAAGATGGCTATGACCAAAGATGCACCCAAGAAGCAAGCCTCATCATTGGCGTGGGATGGCAGGGGAAATCAGAACTCTAAAGTTGGGGCAAAGCTAAAACCACCTTGTTGAATGCAGCTGAATTTGGTTGCACAAAACAGTACATGGCTAAGGATCACACAAGCAGCACTTGAAACTGTTTAGTATGAACATTTACAAATACCTTGAACAATTAATGCGAGTTGTATGTTTTTGGACTTTGAGATGCACTATCAAGGCTAGACAAATCCCAAAAGCTGTAGTCAATGCGTCTAAAAAAATTATAGTTCACGCAAATATGGGACACCAGCACTCAAAAATGACTGAAGAGTGTGTCTTTTATTGACGCATGTGCATGTCATCACATAATGTTTCAGCATCAGGCAGGATCCCCTTCATCAGGCAAAACCATGTGGCCGAAGAGCAGTACAAATCAGTACCTTGGCAGGTAAGACAGGTGGCCACCGATGGACCCATTACTTGCCATGGACTAGACGGTCGGGAGTGCGATGGGCTTATAGCGCCTAACTGTTGGTTTTCTCGACGTGTTGTTAATGGAGGTGACTCCTAGGAAATCGTGCTGGTTCCTGCATTGGAGAGACTGGATTCAGAATTCCATATGAATTGTCCAGCCCTGTTGTAAGTGTTTATATCAAGTAACATGTGATCACAGTCTATGAGAGAGGTGAACACTTAAATTCAACATTTTCCTAGTGTAGATTATCAAAATGTCCTTAAATGGGAAAAGTGTATTTCCAATTGGCACAATTT